GGCTGGTGGAGCAGGGCTCTTTGTAGGCAGAGTGAAGTGAAGGGCTAGATTGCATGATATTCTTTTTGTCTATGGCTTTGGTATCATTTTTTTCTTCGCAGATTATTTTTGCAAGGTCGTCCTTTTTCCTAGGATAAATCTCATGTAACAAGCCTCAGACCGTCGGATTCTGGGAACCGGCCGAGTGTCAAGGTGCCGTGGCCAGCCAGCAAAGGCAGCCGAGCGCGGTGGGCGCCGCTGACCACCCTGTCCTTCCGTGCGGCCGGTCACACGCTCACTCGGCCGTCCGTCCGCAGGCTCACAGAAGGCGGCCGCAGCGAAAGCGAAGGCCAAGAAGAGCCACTGACAACTGTCTGGAGAGGCCCGCACGCCGCCGCCGGTGGTAGCGCTGTCCGGTCCTCGGGTCGGCTCGTCGTGACCGCGTGGTGTACGCAGCCACGTATCAGTCGTCTGGCCTTTGGTAGTCGTTGAGATGTAGCTGAAAGCGGAAACGTTAATTTGCGGTGATTATGTTCATTGTTCCCCGAGTGGTGATTCACGTTGTTATGTGTAATAAGGCGTGTCTACACCTTTCGACTGCTGAACAGTATTGTGCCCATCGCCAGCGTCTGTTGAGCCCCATGCGTCATAATTAGTGCGTGTACCGGGCTTTGCAATCCATGTCATTGAGGTCTATGCGACCTTTGTTATCATTCGTGATTTGGTGTCCAGTGTTTTTTTTGTCATCCAGGATGGCATTGAAGAATGCCAAACCTGTCGTTCACCACCACCTAATCTGCATTACGTCATTCGCTCTTAGCGGTTTTATTCCCCAATGAAATACTTGTGCCGTCGGGTATCACGGGAAATGCGTGTGCTGTTTTGGAATGCTCAGGCATCTGGTCCGTCGCAGAATGTTTGTTAAATACTCCTTTTTCATTATTTCGCGATCGTTGGCCCATGTTTTGCGCGTGATTGTTATTAGATGATAACCCCTGATCGAGCTGTAGCGACCAATGTCGATATTTGATCTAACGCCCGATGCATCCCTCAGTGGGAAGGCTGTGTACAAGACTAAACCGGGCTGGTGTCAGCGTCATGCTTTCGCTGGAATCACGTCAGGACATGACATGTGGATCTGTCGTGGACTCGTTGCGAGCTCCGTACAATGGCATAATGAATGCTGATTGCCACAGCGTTTTCTTAGTGGGCTTATTGGAATAACATGCTGTATTAGTGGACTTAGCACGGTACAGCCTGATGCACCTGGCGATGTTTACCAAATACAGATAGACGACGATGGACTTACGAAATCGGCACTGCCAAGCACCCAAAGCTCAAATCATCATTATCATCATCACGGTCACGGGCTGGGCGCTCCCATCGGCGCGTTTGACGGCCGGCTGGGCGACGGTTAGCAGCTGTACCTGAGTTTCCCTGCACGGTGATGAGTGACGACCGCCTGCTGACCGGGCTGCGCGGGGATGAGCCACGGCTGCAGGCCGTGTCACTGCTTCACACGTCGCCTGCGGCCTGTGTCGTACCTCGAGGCCGTGCCGCTGACGGCGGTGTTTGTCGTCAACACTGCTGACGGTGGGTGTGTCGTCAACACTGGCTGGTCGGACGGCACGCGTCGCGTCAGGCGCGGACCGCCTCCTCAAGAGGAGTGCTGCCACTCGTCTGGTTTCCTCACCTTCGAGCACCGCGACACCGATACATGTGCATGATTACAACGGCCTCACCATCTAGGGATCCCGGATCGATCGGTGACTTCTTCAGGCGATAAGTCGTTGGGGGCTTGTGGTGCGGGCAGCTTGTGCCTTGCCCCGTGATTTCTTCGCTTTCACTTCTGACGTTTCATTTGCTGGATTTCTGAACTCTTAGTGTTACTTTCCTAATCCTGACACTCTGGATCAGGTGGAAAACACTGCTCTGGACAGCAACAATTCTCTGGTTAAGAAGTGTGCTCCTCATGCGTCGTGAGTTGATAACCGTCATCGTATCTTGCGAAATATTGATTGAGAGCAAATTGGGCGGCCGTTGGCCGCGTTCGATCTGTCGTCAGCACATTTGCCAGCCGGAATGCGTGACGGTAATGCGTGTGGACGGCGCGTTTGATGTGTGGGCTGACGGGAGTTTTTGAAACTTTGCCTTTCCTCCTTCCTTTACCTTTACGTTACCCCCACACACTAACTCTGGCTTACCGTCGACACACTACGTACAAAGTGGTGTTTGGAAGCATGGCTTCTGCTCCGATATTACCCATCATCTATCCCATCCGCATATTGAGTGCTTTTTCCCCATTTCCAACTTCATTTCATTTTGTTCCCTCTCATTTTAAGTGTACTTATAACGCTATTAATTTGCTGAACAACGTGACCATACACCATACCATTACTGTCACTCACCTTTTCACGACTACTCTTGGCATTTCAATTCCCTCCTTATCTATCTCCCGTCGCGGTCTCCCCTAAATTTAGAGACAAGTACCCCCTTTCCCACCTAACGCGCTGGCATATACTTTTTCGTACATGCGTTTCTAGGCAACCCATGCAAACAAACGTGAGGAATGGTGCTTACCGGTTCCTGTTGGTTCGTCATATTTCAACCACATTCCTTCCGCTTTTTCTCCATGCTGACGGGCTGACACAAAATCCTGGCAATTATCGTCAGCCGGCGCATGAGGGTAACAGGCCACGTGACTTTGTGGTCACATTACGTGACGTAGGGCGAATACTGGGCCATGATTGGTGCCGAAAAACGTGGTGACGACCGATCGAACGCGGCCGTTTTGTCTGTAAATGGCGTTCACAAGCGCCAGATATGAACGCCTCAACAATTACATTTTTCTTGACATTCGATCGCCACATGGTTTATGAAATGGGCAAGATCTGATGGCGTTATTATGCCGTCATGAACGTCAAGGTAACAAGGTAAAGGTAAATCGGTGACTGTTCTCCCCGATATACCTTTGCTCATTTTCGCGGGCGTGTGGCTTAACAACCTGAGGGGTTAGGTCTTAAAAAGAGCAGGATTGTGAACAGTACCGAAAGGTCTTAGAATGGTTCTTTCAGCTCAAGACCGCATGTAAATGTGGAACTCTCCCTTTAACTGAAATAAACGCCAGAAGCTCCTGCCAGGGTAGCGTGAATTCTGCCTGAATTTAGCGTCAATAAGGTAAAGAAATAATGCGTTAACGAATCCATGAAATAAATGGACGGAGCTCTTCAATTCACACTAGTCCAAAGCACTCTTTCTAAGCCGATAAAGCTTGGAGGCTTCGTCAGAAAGTGTATTTGTGTTGCGCAAAGTTGGTGACGGCTCCGCGAATGCAGATTATCGATACAAAGGCGTGAACAATTTTCATGAGCATGGCCATCCCATGGTTTTCTGGAAACGCTCAACATTCAGTCAGAATCACTTAGTGATATAAATTAGATACATACTTTTGAACAGGCGGGCTCGCAAATCCTAGCAATAAAAGCCTTATTGCCAGGCGTTGCAGTCCTCGCATGCTGCGCAACGTCGGCCCCGAGGCTAACACTAAGCCGTAGCCAACGGGTGAACGAAGAGCATGACGTATCTAAAAGAAGTACCTTATCTGCATATTTGCATAAGAACATATCTGCCTTAACATCACCGCAAAGTGGTGCTGGAATCTGTTGGGAAACTGGAAGCGTAAAGGCAGGATCTGTATTCTTTGCGTTCATGTAATTGTTTACCTGTCCGGAGGACAACCCCAAAGTTGTAAAAAGATACCCTGGGTCTCTTCTTTGAAAGGTACGATTTAATATTACTGACATTTGGAGCCATTATTTTACGACGGCCGTCCTCGCGCGCATGGCGCCCGCCTGGTATTACCCGCAGTGGCCAACATCTTTCAGTTTTATGGTAACTATAACCCAAGCAATTGCTGTCCTTGCTTCCGAGATTGATGACACGCAATATCAAACCTTTGATGTAGTTTTTTCACATGTCGGCTTTGCACAAGCACGAACATGTCAGGCAAACATGGGATGGCTTTACGCGTTATTGAACTCATTTCGACCCACTGTCTTCAACACTTATGACACCCCCTATTTCTTGCCGGGAAATGGGTCCGCTTGCAAAGGAAACTAGGGACACCTTATTGTTCCCCGCCAAGGACTGAAGTGTCATTCCGTCCCATCGCGGGGTGCCTTCCGGCTGCCACCCTGGCGACACGGGGCGGGATCCCCTGGTCGATCCGGAGGCCCTTAGGGGGATAGATCACATTGGTCCCCTCCCTGACGCGGGAGGCCTTCTGATCCGCGCAGTTGAACCTGGATTGACGCAGGAACCCTCACTGACGCAACAACAGCCCTGATCGCCGCAACTGGTCCAATAATCAGCACATACACTCCAGTTTTTTGCATACACTCCAGAACTTAGACCGACACGGAGCCGACTGTTCGGTGTTATTGATATCTAGTCGGAATAGAGAAACTCTGTTTCAGGGGTCCCCAATCGGTGCAAGAGGCCTTCTTATTGATATTTGAGATCACGGTCCAACGGGTAGTGTCCTTAATGTGACCTTCAGCCAACCCTTAACGCCGATCAGCCTTACGATTGGGCCCTTGAACTTTGGTCTCGAGAGCCTCCTCGGCTCTTCTTCGGTCCCTTCCAATACCGCTCCTGGCCGACTCGGGGCCGCTTGCTGCCACAGGACCCCTGCCAGGCATTTTGGTCCCTGGACGGCACAGGAGCCCCTTATTGTGTTAGGGACTCCTAGCGTTGTAAATCGCGGGCCCCGGCTTCGTTATTGCTTGGAAAATAGGTTTCAAAGGCCCAAACCACCAGATGGACATGGGGGCGACTGCTTGGCTCTGTGTCCGTAACAAATGCTTGGCTCCGTGGCCCTATGTGATAAGGATAAATAACGCCAATAATAGGGCCCTAAAAGAAGCCCTCTCACTGACATTGCAGGTCACGACACTACCGTTGGGCGTGGGGTCCAAACCCAGTCGGGCCTTGAAATTCGGTGCCGAGGGATTCTTTGGTCCCTCTTCGAACCTCCTCGAATGTAGCCCGTGACTGACTACGAGCTTTTAGCCGACACATGGCCCCGTGTTGAGCACTGTGGGCCCCTAACCAACACTCACCCTGTCACCCCAATGACACCCTGTCATTGGTTCAGGGACCCGGACGCATGCAAATCATGGCCCCGGTTTCGCCCTTGCTTGGGAAATGGCCTTCAGGGTTCAGGCTGACAGGAAACCAACTATTCGGTGTTCGTGGTCTGTGGCCGAATTAGACATCCATGCTATATTAAGGGTTCCTCAAGCGGTGTAAGAGAGCCTCTGATTGGTATTTTAGGTCACGACCCTACGGGCTCCGATTTTTATATGACCTACAGTCAGTTCTTCGGATCATTAAGCCCTCCAGTCAGGCCTCTGATCGCTGTTTCCGGTAGGCTTCCTGTGCCTCTCTTCAGGCCTCATCGAACAATGCCCCTGGTCGGCTCGGGGCCCTTTGCGAGCATAGGACCCACTGTTAGGTACTGTGGGCTCCAGATAAATACGGGGAACCCGACCAGTGTCAATCACTGGCCTCGGCTCTGTGGCTGATCGGGACGTGAGCCCTTCAGACCCATGCCGACATGGAGCCGACTGTGTGGTACTGGTGGTGACTGACGGACATATAGGCCCATATCGACTCAGGGGGTTCGCCATCAGCGCAAAGGGCCCTCTGACTGTCATTTGAGGGCCCGCCCACGCAGGTTAGGCCCCATGAATAAGACTCCAACCAGCCCCTCATTCTCTTAGACTCTCTAATCCGATCTTAGATCTTCGAACCCGGTGGGCTCTCCAGGCTCTTGGAGACCCCTCGAAAACTGCATCTGGCCGACTTTGGGCCCCTTGCCAAAACATCGCAGGTTCTAGCTTCGTCCCTGCCTGGGGAATGGGCTCTCAAGTCCACGCCGCCGCGGAACAGACTGTGCGCTGCTGGTGTTGATATAAAAGCCCTCAACTCAGGAGGCCCCTGATCCAAGACGGCGGGCCGAGGCCCTGAATGCGACCTACGGCCGGCCTTTCGTGTCCTTTGGGCCCTCAGGTCGGGCCCGTAGTCGTTTTATTATATTTCGTTAACAATCCTTTCTGCCCCCCCCCCCCTCGAAATCTACGGGGGCTCATGCCCCCTGTGCCCCTTGCGTGCGCTGCTGCTACGGACTGAGAGTAAAAAAGCTGGCCCGTCAGGTGTCCAAAAATTATCGATGACAAGCGCCAAATAAAGAATATCAGATTCGTCATGCAGTGCGACTCTGTAAATACATTGATGGGCAATAATTTAGCTCACCACTTCTCTCACTTCTTTCACTAATCAATTGGACGTCGTAATCGCTGGATGTTACAGGGACGTTAGATGTCATGGATTTGGACGTAACGAGCTAGAATGTCATAAACTCCACCAATGGGCACTTAATTGGATGCATCTCGGACATTATAAACCCTGTATGATGCACTTCTGTGATATGAACACTGTACGCTGTGATCCTGGACGTTATGATAGTCCCCCACTGAGAACCCAAATAAGCATTGCGAGGTCAAAAGGCCCTGAAAAGAATGCAGAAAGACGCCGAATGACACATTGAGCAGAGCTCTTAGGTTTCGGGGTTTCGTTGATTTGCAGAAACTTCAGTGGCAGAGATGTTCGATGATGAGAACGCATAATTGTTTTTTTCGTGCAACGACAGCTGATTCACTTCGCCTTACGCTGCGCCAGGAACGTCTTCTGAGACTGAATGGCAACAAAAACTCGCGAGAGAGGGCAGTGGATGTGTGACATTTCAAGAAACGTGCCGGGTTCATCCGTGCAGTGATTTCTTGGTCGTGCGCTTGGGTGGGAGGTGTTAAAAGTTGTGCTGATATTCTTTGTGGATACATCAACCGTAGATTTTGATGAAAGATGGAGACACTTCTTGAAATGGGGTTTCCAAAAAACAGAGCGTAAGTGGTTTTGTTTCCTGTCCTTTGTAATGATCAATTTGTTGGCTTAAATGTGCATAGCTTGTGCTTTTCAGTAGTTACCGTGGTGCAATGCATGGAATGGAATATGTTGGTTATATTGATGCCCATTTCATCTACATGTGATCAGGTTTGTAATTACTGCATGTTGGTAGGTGTTCCCATTCATTTGCAGAATAGCTTCAATATTGTGGTTGATGTTCTGTAAAATCCCAAACTACATTCCCCATTCAGTAACCTTGGCTTATATTGCTCAAAGAGTCTCCTTATTATGTAAGGATGTCACATTCAGCTCTAAGACCTATTGGGGATATAAGACTATATGGGGATTTCACTGCTTTCTGTGTCTAAATTGTGCCCAAAGTTATTAAGTTAGGCACCTATGCTCAGGGCATAGGGATTACATATTTTTCATTATGCTTGTTAACACTTGTGTTGTCCCCAACCTCTTCATGGGTATATGTGTAATTGTGCTTAGGCTTTTATCTTGATGTGCTTTGTGGTAATAGTCCTACTTTATTAACATAAATAGTGATATTGCTGCTGCTTATTTTTCATTCATGATTGGATCCTTATTAAGATTATTTCTATTTAACATAGGTGGAACTCACAATTTTGTTGTAATTGGGCACAAGAACATATCTGTGTTATTTGCCATCTGGATCGTCATATCACTGAGGCATCAGGAGCCTTTTATGCCTTCTAAGCATTTCAAAATTTGTTTTTCCCAGTTGTGTAAGATCAAACCCTGAGATTGGATGCACCTTGTGGATTGTGAAGAGCATCATTTTCTGAAGCCCATAGATGTTATAGATAGCAGAAAATCTTTCACTGGCTTTAGCATGAGATATCGGAATATAGGATATTTATACCATGTAATGTGCTCAGATTCATGATTGAGATTTGGCATGCTTATGATGAGTAATGGCAAAACTCAATGAACAATGGCATACAGCCATTGCGCCAGATGGGGGCGTGGAGGCACCCCTTTCATTATTTCTGTGACACGGCTGCTCCATGCCAGGATAATACAGTTTTTCCCAGATTTCAGCTGACCATTGCATGCTGGTCAGACCAAACATTTTGCTTTCTCAGGGACTTGAAGCTGGTGCCACATGATGCATGTCCTTGATCTTATACCCTAGACCATGTAGACCATGTTGGTATCAAAACCACCGTAATTATGGTGTAATAAAGAAGCTCCTGGTAAAAATAGCAAATGACTTAGAAGTTGGTGTTACAACTCTATATATTTGCCACATTGACTCTATTTTGGTGTCTCCACTCCCCTCAAGCCCGGTCCTCACAGCATCTGATCGAGCTCCTGGTTGATGTTCAATTCACTGATTGATCACAGGTGGTGTGTTAGCAATCTAACAATGACATTTTCTAATTCTAGCCAATCGCCGGTCGTCGTCGCCCACGCCGGCGGTGACGGCCGCAAACGTCAGCGTACCGGCGCAGTGACGTTTCATACCCATGTCCTGCCTTTCTTACAGAGAAAAGGCTCTTGCCATGACTGGACACAAGGGAGCTGAACCTGCAATGGAATGGCGAGTACTCGTGTTTTACAATACTTTTTTCTTAAATATTTGGTCCGAACCCTTTGAATGGACGGATTTCCGGGATCAGAGCTCATGCTAAGCAGTGCTTGTTGCGTAAGCCCTGACCCGTACCATCCGATCGCGTAATTCCATGTCAACGGTAGAATTTTGTGGCGAAAGCTTAGCGTGCCGCAATGCTCGGCACGGTCCGTCCTGCCCTCTGATGTCAACTGACCTTTAGCGCGACCGCTGCCACCGGCCGCAGGCCATACCTGTCAAGGGCAAATAGCGAGCGCCCTACAGCGACTCGAACCCACCCCGCCACGGGTGGGTGTATCGGAAGGCAGGCGCTCTAACCAACTGAGCCACCGGGACGGACAATTGAGCCACCGGGACGGACTGGCCCATAAGTGGACATTGTCGCTGTAACCTCACTATGAGCCAAAACTGTCCCGAACAAATTACCGGATTAACATATTTTTGTTTGATTACTAAACCCAATGGCAATTCAGACTGTACCGGAAGGGAAGGTACACGGTGGGGAGAGCGCTGGAGAAGCTCGAGCTGTCGCCGTTGTTGGGCTATGGGTCTCGCGGCCTCTCCAGTTGCCTATAGGGTCCCGTCTTGTCTCCATTCATTAGTCGTGCTGTCTGGGATTGACGGTGTGCAGGACTTGCCTCCCCTTTCACCCATCGATGATGTAGCTGGCATCGTTCGCCGTGCGACGTCATATAAGTAGATCACTGTGGGTTGTGACCTGTCTGTTTATTGCAGTGTCCTGTCTCACTCGGATGACCCTCTTTATTGCAGGCTCCTGTCCCACTCGGACGACCCGACCATTGATGACCCCATCCCAGAGGATGCTGCTACGGCCGAGGGTCAGGGGGAGCAGGTTCAGTAAGTGTCGGGCATGTTGAAAACGCCCGCAGTGTGTTCTGTTCATGGTGGGTAAGCTGGTGCATTAAGCATGGTTAAGTCATCCATTTACCACAACCTCTTTCCTGTGGGCAGGCATGAACTTCAGTCAAAGAGCATTTCATGGTAACATGTAATCACCTACCCATTGCATGAGCCTGCAGCATGGGTTGTGGGGTGCAAGTTATAGTCATGTTTATATGGTGCCCATTGCGACCGTTTTATTTTCATTTCGGCACGAGCGTTGCAAAGTGAGCCAGTGGATGTGCATATTGTTGCATGGTTATTCATATTGCCGGGCTCCTTTTCCAGAAGGGTTCTAACTGCGGAAGAAAAAGCTCAAAAAGCGAAAGAATTGGAAGAGAAAATCAAGGCGAGAAGATTAGAGAGGGAGGAAAAGGAGAAAAGGGAGGCGATTGAAAAAGAGAAGAATAGGATGGCTACAGGGAAGCAGATTGTAGACGCCAAGAGACGGTATGAGGCTCCTGCATCCTTAGCACTACAAGTTAGCATTTTATTACGTTTGGTATACTTCGATGGACGACTGGCTTGGCTAGATGTCGTTAAGACAATGCTCCATTCTGTGCATATTTTGCGTATATCTAAGCCGCTGGTGCAGAGTTTTTGTCTATGTAATTACTGAAGTAGCCGCATTTGCCCTGAGGGACCGTTTTTGAACACGGAGGTGACAAGCTTGTGCTGACGTTCCCGCGCTCAGCAGGCTTTTTTCTGTTTCCCAGAATGGAAGAGTTGGAGATGAAGAAAATCGCAGAGGAGAGAAGGCGAGAGAAGATTGAGGAGCGGCTGGCCAGGGAACGGGTCAAGAAGCAAATTGAGGCTGACAAAGTGGTACGGCTTTTAAATCGCGTCGTTAAGATCATCTGAACGTGTTATAGGACGGACACCATGTGCCCCATATGTACTATATTGCTGGAAATGTGGTCCCAAAATGTCGGAACATTGTGCGCGGTGCTGTGTGCGCTACAGACTTCCTATCAGCGGCGGCTCACATCCGAGCGAAATTCGTGCGCGGATAGTTGGCGTCGTCTATGCTCTCAATCATTAAACTAGAATGATGTGGCGGATCTCCCTACGACCTCCACCTCTCTGCAGGCGCGGCGACAGAAGTTCGGAATGGAGACGCCAGAGGGTGCGGCGGCTGCAGCGCCCCCGGCTCCGGCTGCGGCTGCCGCCCCTGCCGCCCCTGCCGAGGCGCCCGCCAAGAAAGAGTACTCCATGACCAGACTACAGGTGCGCTGCAGCCATTAACCACTCCGGCCATTGTGACTGCTGCTCACATACCTTGGTCCTTACGCCGCAGCCATAGGCTGCGTTGCGACCGGTGTGTGGATGTTTTTCAACGCGTGTTACACATACATTGGACGTAACATAACAGTATATGGAGAACCGTTCGAGTCTTGGGTTCGTGGTTAGGGTGAGCGCCACTGGCGGTTTCTGTCTCACATGGCTGGGCTGTGCTGCGCTGAATGTCTGACAGCGGCGGGCTGAGCAGACGCCTCGTCCCGGTGGTGCTCCAGGCCGCCCTGTAAGCCGCCTCCGCCTCCCCTCCGCCGCAGATCCGGCAGATGGACGGCTCGGCGCTCACCACCTCGTTCGCCGCCAAGGAAGCGCTGGCGGCCGTGCGGCTGTACGTGCAGATGAACCGCACCGACGGCTCCGGCGAGTTCACGCTCGGCACGGCCTTCCCGCGGCGCGTCTTCACGGCCGAAGACTACGAGAAGCCGCTCGACTCGCTCGGTCAGTGGGTGCGGCGCGTCGGCCGCTGGCGTGGGGATGCGGGCTCGATTCCCGCCGCGGCGAACTTTTACTGCTCCCGGCGTGCGTCGCTGGTGACTGAGCTGTACACAGCCTGAACGGTTACACATGGCTGAGAGGAGCAACACCAAGAGAAATGGTGCGGCCAGCACTGCAGGGGTGAGACCGGTGTGCTAAACCGGTGGGCGATCGTTTTATTAAGGAATAGTCCCATTGTCTTATGTTCCCCAGAGCGAGTGCAAAAATGCGATCTCGTGAGTTCAGAAGCCCAACGAGCCCGAACACCGCAAGTTTTGACGCTTTCCTTGTGGGTTTCAGTTGTAAAGAAGTGGGCTTAAACGCCTTAATAATAAACACAAAATAGTATCAGCTGGCACTCGTGAAGCTCGCATATATTTCAGAATGATTATTGCAGCACAAATGCAGAACCCAAAGAGAACTAAAGTAGCATGTGAGTTAGAGCTGGGAGTGGTATTTCAGGAGGCTAAGACTAGTGAATGCTAATTTTCGATTTTTACCAGCATCGACTGGCAGAAACTCAAGGAACAATAATCTTTCCTTTGTATTAGTCGCTATGAAATTGTATTAAGTTTCCTTCGTAGACGGGGACACAACAACAATTCACTTACACCATAGCGGCATCATAAGGAAGTGTTAGCTGTAACAGCTATTGGCTACATATGTCCCCTGATACTGCCAATGAATTTGCCTTATGTGATGCATCACTGTTCTCAAAGGGAGTGTGCAGGCAGCCACCACCATTAGGTGGCTGTGAACGCACTGTACAATGTGCAGAGCATTGCGCAAATTACGGCGATGGGCATTATCAGATCTAGTTCAGGTCCGCTGTGGTAAGCTGGTGGATGCCACATTTGCGATAGACATTCAATCGACCCTGGGGACCTCCGTTAGACAGTAGTCACTTGCCTCAATAGGACCTCCATTAGAGAGTAGTTACGTGCCTCAATAATCAGTACTCTAACGTCATACCTCTCTTTTCTATCATATATGGTACCATAAAGTACCCCCGATTTTAATGACATTATTTCACGCCTCACTGGTAATGAATGAACCCTTCTCCACGCACAGAGCATGCTCCACTGCGCTGATTCTGCCAGTGTAATCACGTCTTGCTGAAAAGTGCAATTGCCTTGTATTTTTGAGGGTGTTAGCTATTTTGTCTTATTGTTTAAATAAAATATCTTAATGGCATCAGATGTGCTGCGTCAAGTTAAATGGATCACTGAAGTTGAGTTCCGATTGATCGTCAGTTGTTGCTGGCAGTAGCCTCTGACAATCGGGTTTAACCGGTTTAATCTGACTGGCAGAGACCTCCGGTTCCCGCCAACTCTGATCAGAGCATGTTACAACTGTGTACACATTAAAGGCTCGGTTTCTAGTGGGCCGGATCTAGGGACGGAGCCGAGGGGAGAAGAGGTGGGGGGAGGGGGGCACATGTCCATGGCCCCCCTGAGCCAGTAGGCTTATGGCAGATACTAGCAATTTCGCAGAAGTTCGGGAATATTGGCGTTTGCCTCCCCTTCCCCCCCCCCCCCCCCCCATTGGGAAAACTGGCTACTTACCTGACGCAGTCCCTTGTTTGCCGCAACTCTGCCCGCCGGAGCGGGCTCTGCTCTCGTCACCGTCCGCAGTGTTCTTCAGTACGGCGCAGCCGGTGCCGGCTCCGACCTGGCGTGGGTGTGAACTGGTCGGCTCCGGCGGCTAACGGGCGCGCCTCGCCGCCAGGTCTGGTGCCGTCGGCCGTGCTCATCATCTCGCGGCCGGCGTGATGCCGTCCGGGACGCGCCGCCGCCGACGACGTCAGCTGGGGATTGGGCGCGGCCGGCGCCTCTGGCCCGGGGCGGCGGCCCGAGGCCGGGCGGAGACACGCCGAACCCGTGTCAGCTGCCGCGCGCCCAGATCCGTCAGCTTTTAAGTGCCCTTGCGTATGCGTTGAAGCATGCGTCGACTGACTGTACTTGTCCCGGAATGACCAAGTTCGATGACAAGTTGGACGCATGCCGCAAACAAGCGTTACATTTCCAGGAGCGTTGTGATTGCCGTGCTGTGGCTGTTCCGCGCTGCTGTGGAATGAAGCCGTCGAACCGTTGTGCTGCTGCCGAACACGACACAAACACAGACGACGACATTGGAACATTTAGTTGCTTGAGTCTCGAAATACAGGTAATATCAATCACGTGTTTGGTCCCATTCGTCCACGCCCTCCTGCCGCTGGGCCCACACTGGTCCGTCCCTCGCGGAGTGTCTGCATCCGACCCGGCGTCCTCCATCACCCTCACCTCTGCCCCTCAGCTCGCTCCCCGCCGAGCGACCGCATTGGCCTCTCGCGGCTGCGACTGGGCGCCAGGTGCCGCCCCACGCCCGGCGTCTCGCGGTGGTAGGCGCTCCTGGCAGTGGTCCCCGACGGTAGCAGCCCCGGGGGCGCCGCCCCCCCCCCCCCCCCCCCTGGCTCCGGCGGCCGTCGGCCCCGGAGGCGCTCCATGGTGGCGGCTCTACTTGGCGGCGGCGGAGGCCGTCTCGATGAACTGCGCCAGCGTCACGTCCTTGGCGCTGAGGCCGCCGACGTCGTGCGTCGACAGCGTCACCGTCACCCGGTTGTAGACGTTGAACCACTCCGGGTGGTGGTCCATCTTCTCCGCCTTCAGCGCCACCCGGCTCATGAAGCCGAACGCCTGCAGAGGACGGCGGCCCGGTCAGGACGAGGCTGGCTGGGCACGGCCACTGGGCCCTCTCCGGCCCCGCGAACCGGTGCTTTTCAAGAGCTGGTCTGTTGTGGGCTATTGGGGCGTGGCTTTGCGTTTACCATTTGGGTGATTGTTAGAAGAACGGGCCGTGACCTTTTGGTGGACTTGACGTAAGGTGGACGTGGTAGCGGCATACGTTAACGAGCATTCCACGTCGCAAGGTTGCCGGTTGTTCAAAACTTATAGCACGAAGACGATAACCGCACTATATGTTCCTGTGTATGACACTGTGTATACACACGCCACTTGACTTAAACGTATAGTATCGAAACGCATAGTAGTTAAATGCACAGCATCAAAATTGTATGCGTAAGGTAAGCATTGATTCTTGAAAATTGTACTTCTTTTACGGGCGGCACAGCACAACAATTTGGCGCCGTCTCATTCTACCTGCATGCTTTATCCCTGCTGACGAGAAGGTCCTAAGACATCGATACCTTAGCACTGAGTAGTGTAAAAATGACTATTCCGCTCATCGGTTACAGGGGCTCACCTGGTTGAAATCGGCGAAGACAAACTGCTTTTCAATGGCATCTCTGCCATCTGTTTTCTTCCACCCAGACTTCAGCAGAGGGTCCAGTTGTGATGTCCTTTCTTCGTCATTTAGCTTCATTCTCTTGGATTCAGGGCCCTGCAAGGTCAACACTGTATCAAGAAATAGTCATGTCCACCGGGGGTTGTGGCACATTTGTTTGCAAAGATAAGTTCAAGTCATTTGTGGCAACTGCAAGGTATTGTTTATTCTCTTCTCAGTTAGCTAGCGCTGATGCCGAAGCGAGACCCCATTTTAGCAGTGCGTCGTTTGTACGGGGGCGCTACCTGAGTGTTTTATGCTGCAAAGAGCGTATGTATGTACAGTGTTTTTTTCATTGTTTAGTTGTAGTTGTTAGCCAGACATGATAGCGTAACAAGCACAGCTTACACGGTATGGGGTGCCTTGACATGGATGCGGTGCGAGTTCACATTCCATGACATTAAACGAACATCTCGGCTTTCGCCGATCGCCCGCCCGTTGCCAACCACGTTGCAACTTGCAAATGTGTGTGAATGCGAGGCATCGTATTAACGGCACTGGTGGCCCAACACCCAAGGCCTATGGCCGGACGGCTTTTAAACACGACCGAGGCAAAGTCCAGCTCCAGCTGCAGATCCTGTCGAGGGCTCGACTGTAAGGTTTGCCTGGCGTGGTCGGGCCGCCCGCAAGCACGGCGCCAGGTCTGTGGCTGATGCTTGCTCAACAACTGGGATGGAGAAGAAAGCTATCAATGACATATCAGAAGTTCGAGCTGGAAAGGCGGATTGACAAGTAGGAAGAGGGCATTCGGACACGGGACAAGGGTGTAGTATTCCGAACGACAGGGCGCACGGGGTTTGTCACAGTGCCAACGTGGCATGTGATGTCGCACGCTGACTAAAGCAACAAGTTTCGCAGACGGCCCATATTATGAAAGGTAGGGAGGGTATGCGACACCGCATGCTAACGACTGGTGACGCACTAGGAGTCTGCGGGGGATAGCAGACGACCCGCGTGGAACCAAACTGCATGCGAAAGTTCTTAACTACCGGCTTCTATGGTCAGGCCCAGACGGGCGTGTGACCAGGGCCTGGCTGCACCCACGGCCAGTGACCACACTTTCATAACGCGGTAAATCACAATGCGCTCCACATTAAAGCCTAGCTAGGCAGTTGCCAGCGCGCAGCGCTGCACCTCACCGTCAAGGTCGCCCGTGCCCGTCTGCGGCTCAGCCGAGCAGCGACGCCGACCGGGGCGCTCCCGACCGGGATGAAATCGATAGCGACCGGCCGGGCTGGTCGGCCCAAACAAGTATTCATAGAGATGGGCAGCATGCATACCAGGGGTTGGTACTTACGGCATATCCGAGGGCACGTCACGTACGCGGCGTGGCTGCCAGCCGGTGATACGTGTGCGGTATCGGTGTACCAACTGTCAACCCTGGCACCGGCTGCAATGTTTTTGTATTTTTTTTTTTAAAGGTGGAATGGGCGGCTTCGGTGCTTAATTGGTTTAGCGTTCTATCTTGACACATTCGGTTTGCTTCCGTTTAAGTTATCTTTGATTCGATTATGTTTGTTTATTCCTTAGAATTGTGCATAGTTCTGTATAATTATACACTTGGTGCGTACAGATACTTACAGCGGGAAGTGTAATTTTGGTCCCGCATTCCGTGTCTCAATATCATGACCATCTCCAATGCCGTATCATGGTGACTCCACTGCGACCCGCTTTATCAGTGCACACTCTTTATGGTCCAACGTCTCAGACAAAAACCCGTTCCCTGTAAACAAAAACTGCACGCTGTCATACAAACACGTTTAAACATTCCCGAGTCGTCCTTATACGGAGGGCTTATTTTCCCTCTGACTGCCTCCTCTGTCAAAGACTGATGCCGGGCCCACGAGCCATCCCCGCGTTCACCACTCCGCTGATCTTTCACGTCCGGCCCCGGGCTGCACTACTGCGTCGTGCGAGGCTCCCGCACTGCCGCGGCGGCACTTACACTGGGGCACGCCGGCCTGGAGGCCGCCGCGCGCCGAGCACCACTCTCCGCCATGAGGAGGGGCAGCCACGACACCGCCCGCAGCAGTCTCATGGCTGCGGGCTAGCGGTGGGCCCGTTCTGCGCAGCGAGGCACCGCGCGGTGACGCAGGCCCGTGGCCAAACTCGCGCGCCGAGGGCGAGCTTGGCTCGCGGTGGTCACGGTTGTCCAGCCGGGGTGCGCGCCGCACTGCACTGAAGCGGCGGACCGACGGCTAACCCAGCGCTCGCCGGCTGACCGGCCGCCGACTGAGTGATGAAAGCCGTCGCCGCCGGCCGTGGCCGGCCACGTAACGTTGATGGGGAAGGGGAGGGGGCGGCACCGCCAGGTGGGCGAAACGCAGCGGCGCTAGCGAAGGTCACGGATCGGGGCTGCCGGCTGACGGGTCATCTGCGGTCACCGCAAGCCTTGCAGTGAAGCCGTTTGTGTAACGGCCGCTAACGCTACCCGCGCCGTGTTTCGTCGAGTGTTGAACACAAACAGGTAGGACGGGTCCAGCACGTCGCGTGGACAAAATGCCGCCGCAAGCGGCATCGGGCAGTGGAAACTTACCATACGTGCGGGCGGGCCGGTGCGAGGTGCGCGGCGCTGGCGGACCGGACTGGACCGGCCGGGAGATGGGACTTAGATACGCTGGGAGGCCACCGCGCGTACAAGCCAACTGAAAAGCGTGAGGAGGCTCGGGACGGAGCTGGCCGGCCGCGCTGTGGCGCCCCCGGCAAGGCCACGTAGCTGTAGTGCCGAAAAGCGGCGACAGGCGGCGGCATAATTTTGACTCGTGATCTAAGTTATTTTGTTATTAACATCCTTTTTGTCTTGGCGCGATATTTATGACTTAGCGTTACGGAGAAAAACAGCCAACTTCAAAGTTTTTGCTTGCATGGTAAGAAAGAAAAAAGAAACCTTTCTGCACTTCTTTCCACGATCTCTGGTACGAGAGCGGAAACGAGCACTTAAAACTTTGGAAAATTTGGCATTACGTTCATGGTGCGACGTGGAAAGAAGAACAATAACTGTATGATCCCCAACTTTGCATCCGAGCAGTGGATAACCACTGTTTATCTCTTATCGCGTTTTCATGCCTTTCGCGCTAGGCCGCCTTTAAAGCAACAATTCTGCCAAAAATATGGAAGTATGCATGCATGAATACCACATTCGACCGTTTTCCTTGCATAATACAGACCCATTGCTTTTCACTTCGCTCCACCAAATGTCCGTGGCGGTAAGAAATAGATTTGGGAGTATTTGGTAGCAAGGCACTGTATCCTGGCGGCAAAACTGAAATTCATGTGCGCCAGTTATTTCAGGCCGGTTACAGTTTATCTAACTGACGCAAATCGAAGGCGACGCAAACCGAGGTTTGAGCGTTGTTGTATGCCTATTTTACATTAGTTGAACTACGTTGAACATTTGATTTAAGCTAAGCTGTCTGTCGAGCCCAATCTTACCTTACCTTATATTACCTTGTAATGATCGGGAATTATACAATGCCACTAGGGCTGTTGGTCCCGGTCCTCGTAGCCAAGCAGTTTGAAACATATGACAAACAATCTTAGGTCATTTGATCGACAGGTTATTCATACAGGGACAGGCAGGCACTCAGTCAGGTGCAGGTTCTTATTCAGTTGAGGCTCCAGCCCCGCCCCCCCCCCCCCCTCTGTCTGAGAAGAAGGTGAGCTTAGTCGATGGATGAATCAGATTTTGGCTGTTCTTGGGCAGGTTTTACTGTTTTTCACTCTTCAATCCCCTGGCTAATTTTGCATCTGACACCCCATACTCTAAAGAACTTTAACTAAAGCAATTAGGTTATGCAATCTCCAATTTTGGTATGATTGTACAACACAGTGTTGCACAATCCATCATTAAAACTTGTGATGTTTACAGAAGACTGCAGGTTCTGTTCTCCATCACTGTGTTTGGCTGCAAAGTGTGAGAGAATTATCATTGTCCATCTTAAGTTTGTTTACATGGTCACTATAGATGGATATTCTTGTGTTACTGGTATCTTATGAAAATGGTTTTGCAAAATCTTACAAAAATGATGGAAAATTTAAAATCAGTTGTGTGCGATAAAGACACACATAAGCTAAATGTGCTCTAAGAAGGGGTGTGCATTGCTGGTTCATACCATGCCATCCTCTTTTACCATTTTTTGCTTTACACTTGCACTTTTGCAAGGCTTTGATATTTATATTTGTCAAGCGGAAGGCAAGTATGGCTTGTCTTTTCTTCATAATGCAGTAATTTAATTGAAGTCATGGCTAGATATTGCAGACAAAAAGGACAGTTTCTCAGCTAGTAAAAAGCTTTTTGTTGAAGTAAATAATTTGTTTGACCACCATTTCATTTAGCTTGACCTTTTTCAGCATTTTGTTATAATCTGCATATAAGAATCTTTACTTTCTGTGTTGTACAGGATCACAGATCAAGACTGGCCAAGCTATAAACAAATAAGCAGTACCATGTCAGCTGCTGATTTTGTGCAACTGTTGAATGAGGTCGGTTATCCTCATGCATCAAAATTGAACCCATCTGACTGGGACTGGATGTTTGAGGTGAGTCATGCCATACCACGCTACTGTCGCCACTGATTGGTATGGAAAAACATTAACATTACTCCAAGGCTGATTAAGGCATGGAAGGTCCAGAAGGGTCAGGCTGTCAAGATTCTTTGCTTAAGAAGTCATGTTTTACCTGCTTCCAAACACCAAACAAAAGCAAACAAATGTCTGCCTGCTCACCACCACACATTGAAAAGCTGTTTATCACCATCATCACTGAACTCTGTTGAAGCCCGTTGTCTATTTGACACCAGCCCCACTACCGCCGCAGCTGGGTGGCGGCGCTGGCGCGTTCCTCTGCTGGCTCTGCCGTAATGTGACGGCCGAGAGCGTGGTGACCGAGGTCGAGCGGGCCGCCTACACGCGCCTGAAGGAGGCCGAGGGGGTGCTGGAAGGCACGCGCCTGGACGAGGCGCTGGCCGCCCAAGAGGAGGCGCAGGGCGACCTGCAGGTGGAGGTGCAGCAGCTGACTGCTGACCTGGCCGTGCAGCAGGCGCGACTGGACCGGCTTCGGCGCACCCGTGACCAGCTCTGGTGAGACCGCACGGTCGGCGGGTGTGCGGACGGCTCGGACGCTCGGGGGGGGGGGGTTATGTGCGTATTTGGCATTAAATGTTGGCGGCGACTTCCTGTCCTTGGTGATGAATCGGTTTGAATAACCAGCTGGTTTTGCTAGCCTGTGAGATTTGCGCCCTTGAAATAAAATACAATATGAACAGTGAGCAGGTTGGCTTGAGAATGACAATTACATACTAGTAAGACATTGCTTTGGTAGGTTAGATGCAAAAGTAATCTGTGGGTCGAAGCTTCAGTATCAGCTGTTTTGCCAATACTGCGCTTGTAGCATTTATCACCTGTACCACTGTACCGCGATCTACAGTGTAACCCGCCACCCGTCCGCCATTGCCTGCAGCAACGAGAACCTCAGCCTGTCCATGGAGCTGAACCAGCTGTCTGAGGGCCAGACGGCGGCGCGCGCTGTCCGCCACCGGCTGCGCCAGCGACTGGCCGGCGACGAGCTGGCACTGGCCGACGGCCGCGGCCGGCTGGCGTCCGCCGCGCGCCAGCTGACCGGCCAGCTGACGGAGGCTCGCGGCGCGCTGCTCAGCCAAACGCCGCTCGACGGCGTCGAGGCGACCGAGCAGCGCGTCAGCGAGCGGCTAGCGGAGCTGGCGCGGCGCGCCTTCAGCGCGGCGCAGCGCGGCGCCGGCGACTGCAGCCTGCTGGACCTGCGGCCGGCGCGGCTGACGGCGGACGCGGCGCACGGCCGCCTCGCCGCGCAGCTCACGCGGCTCGAGCGCGCGCTGCCAGTCGCCAAGCGCGGCGCGCAGGCGGCCGCCGCCGAGGCGGCCGGCCTGCGCGAGGCCGTGCAGACGGCGCGTCGTCTGCTGGACGAGCCGGCGCGGCGCACGGCGGCGGCGGCGCGCCCGCCGCCCGCGCCGCCCGCCGGCGAGGCCGAGCTGGAGCGCGCGCTGGCCACCGCCGCCGAGCGTTACGTGCAGGGCATCCTGGCGCGCGCCTGCGTCGGCGACCACGCGCTCAAGGTGGCGCGCCAGGAGTCTGCGCTGGAGCGTCAGGCGGAGGCGCGCGCTGCTGCCGTGCAGCAGCTGGCGCGGTTGGAGTGGCTGCGCCGTGCCGTGGCGGCCGAGGGCGGCGCGGTGGCAGCCGCCGGCGACGCGCTCACCGCCGCCGAAGGCCAGGCTGCCGACCGACTGCGCAAGCTGACGGCCAGGCTGGTGAGTTGTGGCTGACTGTCGGGGCGGGTGGTACGTTGTAGTTGACTGTCGGAGCGGGTGGTCCGCTGCGGCTGACTGTCGGACCGGGTGGTCCACTGGGGCTGACTGTCGTACCGGGTGGTCCGCAGCCGGGACGGCGTGATGTTGGGTGTGGTGCAGCTGTGCAGTGCAATTCAATGGTGTGTCGTTACTGGTCGCCCTCGCGTGGTATTCTTCGTTTGATTCCACATGGCCACCGAGTTACTACGCATGGATAAACGGTCAGGTTGGTAGTGATATCTTCATGGAATGCTGCTTAATGAAGGTATTTAGTCTACTGCAACCTGCTCTGTGAATTATGGGAATGATCGACCTTTTGCCACCGCCTATAGTTGTTGACATGGTGAGCGGCATGACCCAGGCCGTGCCAAAAATTGCCACCATAGCGTTTGCCATGCCGCATGTGATGTCTTCATTTGTCTCCCGCGTATTCCTAAAACAGTCGCCTGTGTATTGCGTACTATTTCTCTTCGCCCGTCTAACCTGTGCCCTCGGCGCCGACAGCGTCTGATGGAGCAGGAGGCGCAGCAGGCCGCCCCGCCAGAGGAGCAAGAGGACGCGGCGGCCGCGCTGCTCGACTCGCTCTCGCCGGCGCCGGGGCCGTGCCCGGCGCCGGCCGAGCGGCGCGCCGCGCTAGCCGAGCAGCTGGCGGTGCAGTGGCGCCACCTGCGCACCGGGCGCCGGCTGGAGGCGGCGCTGGGCCGCAGCGGCGTGGCGGCGCGCAGTGCCCGACTGGAGGAGGCCGTGCGCGGCGTGCAGCCCGAGCTGAAGGCGCTCGTGCGCCAGTGGGAAGAGCGCCGCGGCCCGCGCCGGCCGCAGGACACGCTCTGGGTGCTTATGATGACGGCGCCGGCGCGCCTGGAGGCGCTGGTGCGCGAGGCGGAGCGCGCTGCCGCCGAGGGCCGCGCCAGCGCTGCTGAGTGATCCAGCCGGCGCCGCCGCCAGCGGAGGCGTGGAGGGACGTTGTGAGATGGGGAGATGGTATTTTCCGGACCCACGTGGATATCAGCTGTCGGCCCTCCCGATGCGATGGATACCGGGAGGCCATGGGACGACGCTGTGTACAGCCCTGCCGGGTACAGCGGCCGATGAACACCGGGAGGCCATGGGACGACGCTGTGTCGCCCTGCCGGGTACAGCGGCCGATGAACACCGGGAGGCCATGGGACGACGCTGTGTCGCCCTGCTGGGTACAGCGGCCGATGAACACCGGGAGGCCATGGGACAGCGCTGTGTCGCCCTGCCGGGTACAGCGGCCGATGAACACCGGGAGGCCATGGGACGACGCTGTGTCGCCCTGCCGGGTACAGCGGCCGATGAACACCGGGAGGCCATGGGACGACGCTGTGTACAGCCCCCTGCCGGGGTACAGCGGCCGATGAACACCGGGAGGCCATGGACGGCGCTGTGTACAGCCTGCGGGTACAGCGGGGCCCGATGAACACCGGGAGGCCATGGGACGGCGCTGTGTACAGCCCTGCCGGGTACAGCGGCCGATGAACACCGGGAGGCCATGGGACGACGCTGTGCACAGCCCTGCCGGGTACAGCGGCCGATGAACACCGGGAGGCCATGGGACGACGCTGTGTACAGCCCTGCCGGGTACAGCGGCCGATGAACACCGGGAGGCCATGGGACGACGCTGTGCACAGCCCTGCCGGGTACAGCGGCCGCCGATGAACACCGGGAGGCCATGGGACGACGCTGTACTAGCCCTGCCGGGTACAGCGGCCGATGAACACCGGGAGGCCATGGGACGACGCTGTGTACAGCCCTGCCGGGTACAGCGGCCGATGAACACCGGGAGGCCATGGGACGACGCTGTGTCGCCCTGCCGGGTACAGCGGCCGATGAACACCGGAAGGCCATGGGACGACGCTGTGTCGCCCTGCCGGGTACAGTCATGGGACAGCGCTTTGTCGCCCTGCCGGGTACCGCAGCCGATCGCGAATGAGTACACGTCGCGATGGCGTAGAAGGGAAGTGCGCGCCAACGGGCGTGCGCTTTACGCTGTGGAGTGCGCGGTTTAGACGTCGATAGTTGAATCGGATGTGGAAGGGCCAGCCCCCGGGATGTCCGTGACGCTGGGCTTGCCTCGACGGTCGGAATTCCTGTTCGGGCCGAATCGCTTATGTCGCGTGGCCGGTGAGTTTGACGCAATGCGTAGGCTGAGCACCAGCGAAACTACTGCCTTAGAAAGCCGCTGAGAAAGGCGTGGTAATGCAACGAGCTTTTGGAGGTGTTGGAGTGTGTTGAATGTGAAGATGTGTTGTTCCGTTCGGTCTTTAAGTTGGCGTGCTTTAACCTCGCTGGTGTGACTGTCGTGCTAATATAATTGTTAAGGTGAATTTACTGAAGTTTTTGTGCATCAGTTTGTGTCGGCTAGTTGTTCCTGCTGCTTATTTCGAAACATCGCCATCTATCTAATAAGGTCCTAAACTGGCAAGGACGAACTGACGGTCGATTTCTTTTGCTTGAACCGTTTGACTTCGTTTTCTTCCATGTACTCTTTGACCCATACAATGCACATTTGCTTATGCTCTGAACATTTAGATGCTTGGAAAACAGGCTGCGATTTTACGTCTGCTACTTGGCGCTTTTCGTGGCATTTCGACGCCGTTGGAAATAGTGCCGTTTAACCGGCTAGCGGAGCTCATCAGCCCTGGAGCCCGCGCCGCAAATCAAGCCTCATCCTGGCGTCGGTAGATGTCACCAGTGCCGTGCGTGTTTGCTCTCTGAGCTAACAGACGGATACTCTGTCATGCTTGTCCCAGCGCCAGATCGTTGAGCGTTGCAGCTTTCTTACCACTCGCCGTTGGTAACCACAAAACTTTCGCTCCTCCGATGCTTAATGCATCGCGGCATACTCGCAACAGCCGCCTGGCTACATGCACGCTCTCGCTTGGCAGCACTTACATGTGGCCGGGCGCGGATGGAGCAAAATTAGCACCCGGAACGCGCCCAGCCCCGTCTGCGACAGTGCGCAGCCTCGTAACCGTGGTTCCCAGCTATCCTGCTGCTGCTCAAGGCGGCGCCGTTCGGGGCCTGGCCCGGCTCGGAGCCCGCTCCGTGCCAGGTTAGAGCGGCTGGCCTGACTCGGAGTCCGCGCCGACCTCAGGTCAGCCCGTCAGTCGTGTCACGATACGGAAATGAGGTCCCAGCTGGTACCGAGCTGGGGATCGGACGTCCAGCCTTGCAGCCTGACGGCAAACATGAGAAGTCGGGCTCGTTTCGTGAAAGCGACCAGAGGGTGACGTGCGCTCGCTGAAATCAGCAACTTCGGAAACGGGAAACACGTGACCTACTGATCACCTGAATACGTGCTGAAGTAATTATCTACATGACTTTTCTCATAGCGATAAGATTCAGTACATTTCCGGGCTGTTAAGCCTTCTGGATGTAACCGGAGGGGATGAGCGCGACGGCGGCGGCGCATCAGCAAATCACGGCGCCTCATTCACATGACTTCGAGGGGCCTCGGCTCGTACGCCCCAATAATGAGGTGTTCATAGGAACGGTCATCCAGACATCCCAGCGCTGAGCGTTTGACACGCTTCCTTCTGGGTGGCCAGCGTAAGTAATCGTCTGGACGCACGAGCGTCACACACCACACCGTAGGCTCGGCGTCGTCCGGAGCACTGAGACCGGTGTCCAGCTGTAACCTCGCCCAGACAGGCAGGATGCCGGTAATGCAGTGGTCAAGTTGCGCGTCTGGAAAATCAGAAGCACGGGCTTGATTCCTCGTGGCGCCCGCTCCGTCTGTTAGAATGAGAGGAAGGTGGTGTCATACAGCTTCAACAGCAGAATGCGGAGTAAAGGTTGAATGACAACAGCGACCAAACAGAAAGCCGCGTAAGGAGCAATCTGGTAAAACAGCTACAGGACATGCTGACTGATTGCACAAGTAGCCAGGTGGTGCCCAGAATAGTTGTGTATCCATCCTGAGCCATTATCCGGTGGCACTAACTTTCATTTACAACTTTCATTGTCAAGCGCAAAACCATTTTGAGCTTAAATTGGCGGGGAAATGAACGACGTGATAACGAGTCCCATTGGGCCAAACCAGGCATGACGCGGCTGCGACGAGCCGCGTCTAATTCGCAACTACGGCGGCAGTCCACACCGGCCACAATTAAACGCTCTTCAAGCCGCCGCGGTCCCCAACGCTCCGCTTCTGGTCGGACGCGAGCGGCACAGCTGGCGTCCGCGGCCGGCGCTGATTGGTGTCAGCTCGCGCCTGAACCGCCTCCGATCAGGCCGGCTGGCACACATCACCGCCGCGCGCGCGCGTGCCGTTCCTTTCACGCCCATCCGAGCGGCGCGCCGTGGCGGCACCCGTTCGCGCGCGCCGGCGGCGGCCGCATGCAAATGCGGCGCGCGGCCACCCGGTGACCCGCGACGGTGGCGCCGCGGTGCGGCGTGTCCTACATCGGCGCCGGATGTGGGTCAGACGCCGGCGGCGCGTACCGGGCCGCCAGGGAAAGTCAATGGCCTCTGGTCCGCGGCCTCATCTCGCGAGATGGAGGCAGCTGCGACCGCGCCGGGCGCTGGGAACGGTGGTCCGGGTGGTGCGGCCAGGCGCCGGGGCACGGATGACGCCGGCCGACCACGAGGCGCGAGTGCCTGGAAGTTAGGACTGTCCACGTCCGAAAGTGACAGCCCTGCTCTGCGTATGATGGAGCTCAGCTGCTGCGGGCTTACGCGAAAGAGGCAAAGATAGATAAATTGTGATTTATTTTCCTCGAGTCTCCAGCCGCAGGTGCTACAGCTACAGCAGCTGACAAAACCGACGCACTCCCGCCGTGTCCGTTGAGAGCCTAACCGCAACGTAGTATTTGAGCCTCATTGTTTCCAAGCCTTAGAAATGCCAGCGAAGGCTGAACGGCGCGGCTCCTGACGCATCGGGCTCGCCTTCCTTAAAAGAAATATGGTATGGCGTGCCCGCCACTTAGCAGGATACGCTTCCTTCCATCACGCATGGGACTGGAGGCCGTTTAGTCAACAATTAACACGACTGAGATGGCCTAAGAAGGAATGATCGCCTAGAACGCCCTTCATAATCAACACGCATACTCATACATCACGCTCCACAGCACGCATCGGGCAAACTACCTATAAATACAACCACTCTTTTCTTGTACTCTCCGCTTGCAAGACACAGCAGCAGCAGATGTTCGCTTCGTTCACAAGCAGTCTCAGGTGCACCACGAGGCGGCACTTATTTCGTTTGGCCCCGAATCAATTTCACTGCCTACAGAGAACTGACAGTTCGTCGACACTTTTCGAGCGTATTCACAACGAGGCTACCCCGGCGATTTCTTCCGCCGGCCGCTCCCACGTTACTTCGACGTGTCCTTCGGCGCGTGGCGACTCGGCTGATTGAAATGGGACACGCGCGTCCCACGGAAGGTCCGTGCACGGGAACGCGTGCACTGACGCTTCCCGTGCCCGGATCTCGTCCCACACGTGCCTGATATCACAGTCTGGACACGAGGATCGCAACCACGCCGGGTTATGGACGTCTACTGCGCCGGCATGCGCGTCGGCACGATTTTCGGCTGGCTTGTGGGGTGCGCGACCATCTCGGGCGGCGGCAGCCTCTCCTGGAACTGCTCCAACGCCTGCACGTACTCGAACGGGTGTGACACCTCGGCGCGGTCCGAGCGTTCCTCGGTGGACTTCTGACGCTTGGTGAAGAAGACGGGCCGGGCGGCGGCGGCCGGCGCCGGGCCGGACCTGCGCACGGACGGCACGAACGGCGGCCGGTCGGCGGCCGGCAGCGCGCCGAACAGCCCGGCCAGAGCCGGCACGTTGCGGAAGGCGGACGGCGGCCGCAGCGGCTGGCCATCCGCGTCGGTCACGGCCACCTGCTCAGAGGCGCTCGCCGCCAGCGGGTCGTTGTCGGGCGGCGGCGCAAAGCCGTACGGGTCGGCAGGCGGGCGCCGCTCCGGCGCGCCGCCGCTGCCGCCGCCGCCGACGACGCTGACGCCACTGCCGCCGCCGCCGCTGCCGCCGAAGAGGCCCGTCAGCAGGCTGACCGGCGATGGCGCCGGCCGCGGCGTCTCCGGCTGCTCTTTGGGTCTGTCGCCGAACAGGCTGGAGAGCAAGCCGGTCATCCAGGAGGAGGCGACGCCGGGCCGGGGCCGCGGCGGCCGCGCGCCTCCCTGCGGGCCCGTAGCCGGCGGACCCGCCTCCGGGCGGCCAGGCGCCGGCCGCGCTGGTTCCGGTCGACCCTGCTCTGGCTCCGGTCGCGACTCCTCCGGCCCCGGTCGGCTCGGCTGCGGGCGTGCGGGTGACGGCGGCTGGCGCACCGCTGCTGTCGGTGGGGACGGCTGGAACGACAGCTTTACCGCCGGAGGCGGCGACGGCGGCGGCGGCGCGGGATGCGCCACGGAGTGAACCGCGTTCACGGGCGCCGAGGCCGGCTGGAAGGCGTGCACGGGCGGCGGCGCCGGCTCGTACTCGGGCACGCCGTACGACTCGGCGTCGAACTCAAGCGGCGCCGGTGCGACGGCCGGCTCGAACGGTCGGCGCGGGTCGATCGCCCCGCCGTACGTCAGGTCCGCCGACGCCGCCAGCTCGTCGTAGTACTCGAGCCCACCTTCTCCGGACGCCTCGTAGTCGATCTGCTCCATCGCGTCCACCCCGCCTTCTTGGACGCCGGCCTCCGCAGTCAAAATCTTCTCCGGCGCGCTGGCCGCGGTACGGGACGTCGTCGATGGCGGCGACAGCGTGGTCGTGGTGCTGGGCTGAACGGTGCGGGGCGGCGGCGCGGTCGTTGTCGGCGTCGGCTTGGTCGCCGCCGTGGTGGGCCTAGTCGTCGGTGCGGACGTCGTCGTCTTCGGCTCGCTCTTCACCGTGTTCTCGATGCGGATCGGGTAGATGGGCTTCTTGAACTTCTTCCCCGGCTTCTTCAAGCCACTCTTGTCGCCCACGTTGATGCCGAACATTTTTATCTTGGAGTAGCCGCTCTGGTGCACGTAGGGGGCCTTGGAGGCCGACTGCGCCTGCTCCACAGGGAACGGCGCCGGCGCCGGGTTGTACCAGGGGCTGTCCAGTCGCACGGGCGCCCGCGGACGCGTCGGCCGCGGCGCCGGCGTGGTGGCCGCGCTGCTAGACGTGCGAGGTGTCGTCCCTCGCACGGTCGACGGCCGCGAAGGCCTCGGTGGCCGCGGGCGCCGCGTCGGCCGCCGCTCGGCGCTGATGAGCCGGTTTACGAGCTTGCGGCGGTCCTCGGACGTCGTCACCGGTCGGCGCGTGGTCGCCGGTCGCCGCGTGGTCGCCGGTCGCCGTGTGATCCCCGGTCGCCGCGTGGTCGCCGGTCGCCGCGTAGTCGTGCGCCGGAAGAGTGACGGCCGCGGTCGCTGTGGTCGCGACGAGAAGCGGTTGAGGTCGGGCCGCGGACGCTTGCTCAGCAGGCTGGCGAGCGGCACACGCGATCGATCATCTCCGGGCGGGCTCCTCTCGGTGGACGGCCGGCGCTGCTCGGCGGTCGTCGTCCGCTCTGTCGTCGTCACGCGACGCGTGGTGGTCGTTGGCTGGCGCCGCCGCGTCGTCGTCGTCGCCTTCGTGGTGGTCTCGGCCGGGGTGGTCCGCGCGGATGTGGAGGTCTCGGCGCGCTCCGTGGCGGCGACGGTGGTAGTGGTGGTGGTGGTCGTCGTTGTTGCGGCGGTGGACTGGGTGGCCGCAGCAGTGGACGTGGCCGCGGCGGTGGACGTGGCCGCGGCAGTGGACGTGGTCGCGGTGGCGGTGGACGGCCCAGGCGTCCCCTCAGTGCTCGGCGGCGGACGGCGTGAGACGTCCGGCCGCGCGCGTCGGCTCGGCGGCGGCGGCCGGCGACGCGTCGTCACCTCCACACGCTCGGTGGTCGTGCTGACCTCCGGCGGCGGACGAATCGTCAGCCGCTTCGGAGGCGTGGTCTCCACAAGCGGTGACTCGTCGAGCGACACCGGCCGAACGAACGTCTGCTCCGCGCCCGGCGGCGGCGGGAACCGGACGAACGCTTCCGGCAGTGTCTCCTGCTCCGTCGCCGGCTCCGGCTCCCGCTTGGCGCCGAACGTGGGCGCCTGCGGCTCTGAGCTCGGCTGCAGCTGCTGCTGCGGCTGCGGGAAGACCTGAGGACGCGGTTGCTCCACCCTGACCGGTGGCTGGAAGCGCTGCTCCTCCGTGAAGCTCGGCTGCTCCTGGAAGTTCTGCTGGCCCTCGAACGTCGGCTGCTCGTCAAACCGCTCCTGCTCCTGGAAGCCCTGCGGCTCCTGGAAGCTCGGCCGCTCCTCGTAGCGCTCCTCGTCAAATCCGCCCTCTTGGAAGGTGTCCCGCTGCGGCACAAACTCCCTCTGCGGCTCGAAGTTGCTCTGGCCGGCGAAGAGACGCGTCGGCTCCGCCTCCTCCTCGTAGCCAGGACCGAACTCCTGGCGTCGCTCGTCGGCCGGCGCGCCGAACTGCGGGCCTGAGATGTAGCTGAGCCCGCCGCCGGGCCGCGGCGGGCGCAGCTGCGTCTGCGGCGCCGGCCGCCGCCGGAACTGGAAGAACGGCGCGCCGAGCGGACCGTCGCGACGGCGGGTCGCCTCGTTCAGCTGCACGACGCGCACGGGCGGGTTGCGCGTGCGGATGGGCCAGCCGCCGCGGTGCGCCGGCTCGCGGGCCAGCACCGGCGGCGCGTACTGGAAGGTCGGGTCGTTCTTAAGCGGGTCGCCCGGCCCGATGGGCTGCCAGTCGTTGAAGTCGGGACTCGGGAAGGCCGCCCGCTGGTGCGTGCCTGCCGGAGAGGACAGCGTCAGTGGCGGTGGTAGGTGGCGGCTGTTGGTGACGCCCGCCACTTGACGGCGGACCCCGCCAGCTGATGGTAGCATTCGCCAGCTGATGGTGGTCTCTTGACTGACTGGTCATGTCACGTCAGCCGACCTTGCCTAACAGCTTCGTTCTTCTAGCTAAACATGGACATGCCGGTTTTGTACTGGGATGGTGGAGTTCTCGGAATATTGGATTGGAATAAACTGTTAGACTGAAAAACGTCGGTAAAGGAGCCCGCGAAAGTAAGCATATATATATATATATATATATATATATATATATATATATAGATAGATAGATAGATAGATAGATAGATAGATAATGCGTATCATTACTGTAAGGCACCCTTTTAAAAATGAATGGCGTGTTTGTGTCCAAGACTCGGAGCGAAATGTAACCCCTTCCAATTCTATTCTGTGATCTTCCGCCTTACCTCTGTTCGGAGCCCTGTGCCATAAGCCCTGAGCTTCGGGCACCGCTGCCGACGCCGCTATGACCGCTGCCAGTAGCAGCAGCTGCCGCGTGCTGTGCCTCATTGCCCCTGGAAAAGAGCACGGCATGTCTGAGAGCCTGTAACGTAAGCTCGCGCAGTGCGTCACGTGGCGTCACGCGTGGACGCCCGCGAGTACGAACGTTTCCTGGTGTTGGACCGTGACGCTGCAACGGCACGCAAACCAGGGCTCGGCTTGCTTCGCCATGTTACTTTTTTATTTTCCTATTTAAGATCATTCAGAATATTTTAAGGAAATATCCAGGAAGCAAAAAGCACACACTGCAACTTAAGGTTTTGTGTCGGATAACCCCAAAGACAAAATGCCGCCAAATAGGAATTTTCGACAGTTTATCGAAATATGTGTGGTAAGGTGCATCATGGCTGCTTGCGTACATTATGCGCGTTTTCTTGCGCACGATGATTATATTTGGCGGAAGCATAAGCTCAGTGCCCGGGAAAAGTGCTTAATACGTTCAGTGGGATAATTCCCCTAAACATTCTGAGTGATCTTAGATGGAAAAACATCATTTAAACCGCAGCACTGCTTGTCCATACTGTGATTCGCGACCCAAAGTTTTTCATAATCTCCCAGACGTGATCACACCGCGTTGCGGGGATCGTCAAGACAAAACCATGTGCTTTTTACGAAACCAGGAAGACATCGTTTCAACGTACGTGATTGATTTGTTCCGCAGGTAACCCGCTCAGATAGCTTTTTGAACCGGGCTTGCACCGTTTGTAAAAGCACTGGGACTCGATGCGTCCTGGGACTGATCTTCTCGGCCAAACGGAGAGTGATTTCCGGATGTCGTGTAAAAACATCCCATTAAAAATAAACGTGTATCTATTGTTTCCTGCTTAAGTAAATGAAAACAGAAAGTACGCCAGTTCAAGCACACTGTTGCGAAATCCTAAGAGAGACTGCTGTCTCCTGTCCATATTTTGGTGATCACGCTTTTTCATGCTACACATGTGACAGCCAAATCGTTATCGCGGGCCCACTTTCTAAATGGCCCAATCCAGCTAACACTGGATGGCCAGCATCTTGTTAGAAACTCGACCACTCGCCTCTTACCACGCGCCTCGACGTGCCAGCTACGACATGACATCACTAATAGCTGCTTCGTGATAACAGCACGTGTCACCACCAGAAGAACCCACCCTGTGATCGGCCAGATTACCTACGGTTTGTCTCTTTCACCAACTTCGGTTATTAGACTCGAGCTGGCTTACAATCTTGATAGAAAAGAGAGTGAACCGGACCAGTCACCGTCCCTACCAGAACTTTTATGAAAGCATGGCATTTCAGTCATAATTGGGGGAAACTTGCCGCCGGATTTAATGAAATCAATATCATGCCTTCGTGCCGTGTCCACTGAAAGGCCTAGCTCCGAACGAGTTTCACCAAAAACACCGAACATGAGCGTAGATCAACTCTCCGGCACATTGCAATTCCGTCGTTGCTCATTAAACATGCGCTGTGTTACACATTTCTAGCGCCCGAGTGTTACCTCCTGCAGCTGCACCATTTCCTTTTCCGGGCCGGTTGCGTGCATCCACTCCACCTCTCTTCTTTTCTCTCCTCTTATCTGTCCTCTCCAGCTGCGCCGCCGCCTCCTCTGCCTCTCTCTCCTGCGCCGTCTCCGCACCATCTCGGGCTGCCCCGCCGCCTCCGCTGCCTCTCCCTCCTGTGCCGTCTCCGTGCCATCTCGAGCTGCCCCGCCGCCTCCTCTCCTTCTCTCTCCTGTGCCGTCTCCGTGCCATCTCGGGATGCCCCGCCGCCTCCTCTCCTTCTCTCTCCTGTGCCGTCTCCGGACCATCTCGAGCTACCCCGCCGCCTCCTCTCCTTCTCTCTCCTGTGCCGTCTCCGGGCCATCTCGAGCTACCCCGCCGCCTCCTCTCCTTCTCTCTCCCGTGCCGTCTCCGGACCATCTCGAGCTGCCCCGCCGCCTCCTCTCCTTCTCTCTCCTGTGCCGTCTCCGGACCATCTCGAGCTGCCCCCGCCGCCTCTCTCCTTCTCTCTCCTGTGCGTCTCCGGGCCATCTCGAGCTGCCCCCGCCGCCTCCTCTCCTTCTCTCTCCCTGTGCCGTCTCGGACCATTCGGGATGCCCCGCCGCCCTCCCTCTCCTTCTCTCTCCTGTGCCGTCTCCGGGCCACCTCGGTCCGCCCTCACGCCCCGCCGATGTGGCCCCACTTATCGGGCGGCACGGTGCCGGATGCCGTCGGCCCGAGACCCGCGGAACTGGGCCGCCTCCTGCCGCCCGCCGTCCTCCGGAGTGCCCCCGAGACCCGCCGACCCGCCGGCCGCACCGCCCCGCATGACCACACGCTGCTGTTTGGACGGCATCCCGGCCGATCAGGGGCTGCCCTCCCAGCCAGTTGTGCATCTACCCGCACACTTCACGCGTTTGATTTGGTGGCTTCAACCTACGTGTCCGAGGCGAGCGAGCGAATGTTCGTCATGTGTTGCGTTGATATTGCCGAACGGTTTGGCTCAGACGACGCACTTCGCCTTGTGTTTTAATGATGGCTCGGAATGCGAGCGCGCAGTGATAAGTGCATCAAAAGAAAGAAGAAAACGAACAACGCTACGCGAGCCAACCTCCAACCACGTGTTTGGCCAGACGGTAACTGCTGCCGGAGAAGACAGGCCTTTTTAGAATCTGCCTAGTACGTTGCATGGTGGCAATGCGATTGTTCTCATAATTCCTCGTGTCACTGCGATACCCAGGCAGCCAGCTTCCGTCAACTCAAGAAGCAATAACCAACATTGGTCTGGTCTTGCATAGAACACCAACTCCAGCCCATAAAGCGAGTCGATTAAAAATGTCACTTTCTGAATTGTGAATTGAAGCTGACCACTGTCTTTCTTTGAACCAAACCGTCGTCACGGTCCGGCCGAAGGACTCATTAAGCATCGACGTATCAAGGCACCAAGCTCGTGAGTGAGCTTGCCGCTGGCATCTTCCCTCTAAGGGCACAGCCGTTTAAACAGGCAAGCGCCTGATTTCGCTGCTGCGAAATAGATTCCCACCCGAACTCACGGTACGTATAATTTTGGCCCTGCCTCAAAACATAATAGCACATGATGTAGTCGACACTGATTCCGACTCAAACACGCGAGGCATCCTACTCAGGCCATCACGGCACAGACATCAGACAGGAATGATTCGAGATGGTTGATTCCGATAACAACAATTTAGGAGTCAACGCTTCTCGGCAGTAAATATGCCGTGACCTAACATATATTCATAACAACAATGCAACGCATACATTTTGCGTTTTATTTCACGCTCGCAATTACTGTCATACACTTTAATGATTTTGGGGGCTCAGTGATGCTTTAAACATTTTTGAATTTAGTGGCATTATCTGTTACCCCGATAGTTGCAGAGAAAAATGAAACATCGACGGGGAGGCTGATCTGAAGCCGGCTTATGACCTGGCATAACGTCACCAGTGAACGGCCTCCCGTCCGACTCCAAGAAACTGATGACCACATGAGCATGGAGAATGCTCTCGCGTAATGCTGATACTTGGCCGACCCTTTGGCTATTCCAGCCGAAGCAGTTTTCTTCCCCGATTCAGACTAGCTCCAATCTGTCAGGTGAGTCGATTTAACTTCGACTCACCAAAAAGTAGATTAATCTTGAATCCGATTCTGATCTGATCCGATCTGATACCGCAGCCAGTTCGAATCCTACCAGGAGTCGAACATAAGCATGCTCTTAATGTTATTTGTGTAGATATGACTCAGGTCAGCGGCCTGTTGTGGCGCGTTTATTGCAATCTTATAGAAAAATCAGCAGCAAGAATAGCATAGCGATATGATGTATAGGTAACGTTAAGCCACCATGACTTTTGAAAAAAAAGAATTGGAAGTATGGCAGGCTATCAACATGGATTTCGCATGGCACGTCCGCCAGTTTTTGTATGGGCAGGAAGGAGTTTTCCGCCTAAGGCGAAGGCAGGTTGCATCGAAAACAGGATGATATTGGGTTGCGTTCCCTGGCTCTTTCGGAGCAAGGCGTCGTGGGTGGCAAGCAAAAAGATGGGATAGGAAGCGATGGCCGTCTCCGATGTGACATTTTCCATCTGTCTCCTATTCTCTTCATTCCTTATTCCTTTCTCCCGAGCTTTCGTTCCTTTGCTGCTTGCTTGCGGATGCCAGCAGGTTATCTCATTCTCCGGCTACTTGGCGAACATTGTGATGTTCAGGGCAATACCGCGCTATACCCAGCATCCTGTCAGAATGCCCAGATACCAGCGTGTCATATGCCGCTGCCTAGCGATTACCGTTACCGCATATCCAAAACCTAAAGAGGAACTGCATGCAGCCCTTACACCAGCCTGCCAGGTCCTGCTTGGGAACACTCCGACACTCGGTGGACTCTGTGGTGTGTCATGACACGCTCTGTCAATTCTGTGTCACCATGCACCAGGACGTTCGGAGAGCTTCTGGCATTTCTCCCACCGTGACAGCGAGTCGTTTCAGGAATACGGTTTCGGGTGGGTGGGTGATGGCTCCCTTATTCAGGCTAGATTATGAGATGTTGCTTCGGGATACCGGCTCTTGACCCACTCCATAACCCACTTCCTCTCGGTGAGCATGCTACGCGCTCAAAATAATATGGGTGTTAGTGATATGGGTGAATAAATGTGTCAAAATAGAATAAAATGAAGGGGTGTTTTCGTTGTTTTTTATGGATGTGCTGTGCTGATCGCTAACAGGAAGCGCGAATTATTATATCAATTTCCCAGCCGTGCCTTCAAAGGTAAAGACGGTGCAGACAACAGCTGAACACAACAGCGTCTTCAGAATGGTCTCACATGCACCGGAAATGACCTTTACCGTCAACACCAAACAGACCTGACCACACAACGTGACGACGCGGTCGATTCCAGCGACCGCACTGTGTCCGTGTGCTGGGAGTGCGGACAGCCATCGATCACGTGGTCGAGACGGCCGCACCAGTGACCCCTGACCCGGGACGGTCTCGCACCGCGGCCGGAAGCGCCGCCGGCCGCAGGGGTCAGGGGTCAGCGCTCGAGTCCATGCACCGTCCGCGTGCCGCCCTGGGTTCTGGTGGCAGCCGACCGACTGCAGCTAAGCCGTGTTCACGCTCACCAAGGAGCTTCCAGATCAACACGCAGTCTCGGGGAGGGGGGGGGGGGGGGGGCAGCTCTTGGAGAGGCCAGAACCGCAGGTCATGACAATCACTCGCCGATCTCGTGGCGGCTAGAAGCCTGAGGCGCCCCGGACGCGGAGAAGTGTGCCGGTCGGGTTTACAGCAGCTTTCCGTGACGCCGCCGCACGCTTTACGCCACGTAATCACAGGTGTTCGCGGAAGATGCATCGGCGCACGTGCATGACTGAAGAGAAAGTCCCCCGTGTCTCGAGGCCCTGTGCCTAGTGGCCGACCAAGGAGAGTGGCGCAGCGATGGGTGTAATCGCGCACCGGATCTTAGCTCGGTTCCGGGAAAAAGAGGATACGAACCTGAGGCCGCGGGCCGACTATTAGCGAGCTTGGCTGTGCACCAGTGAGTCATGCCGATGCACAGTAACTCCATTTACTTACACGTGAAAGAGCGCTGGGGTCCGGCTGATAGCTGTAGTGACAAATTAGGCATCGTTTACCGCCTCCAACTATCTGGTTCTACTGCCTCAAACCTCCGTTCCACTTAATCGCGATTAAATCGATCTATTGTGAGCGATTCATCGCATCGTCACCCATGTCGAAAATTGAAGTGAACTCACTGATGGTTGTAGTCCTGTATGCCGCATAAAGTGGTAGGCAACTCTCAGAGAACAGGGCAAGCAGCAGGCGATTCGACCAAAAGCCCTCTTCAGTGCATAAGCCCTCTTCAGCAGCTCAAGATAAACTCTTTTCAAGAGAGCTTGTCGCGGAGAAATCCGCTGCTTCCCCTGCTCTTACGAGACCAATCTACCACGCTGTACGGCATGCAGGTCAACAATCATCAAGAAGTCACCAAGAATGACGTCCTCCACATTCAGCAGCGTTCCTGAGAACTCAATCATGTGAACTCACTGAAGCCGGCTGCTAACCGCCTGGGGTAAGGTACTTTCTTCATATGCTGTGCCTGTTAGGGAATAAAGGTTCGTAACTATATTTGTTTTGCCTCTCAACAATCTGACAGGTGTTTCATGGCGGTGACATCATTTGGCGTCATTACGAAACCTCATTAAGGCTATTTACACCATCACTTAACACTGACCATCACGCCCTCAACTAAGTACTTCGTCCGCACATTGGGCACTCGTTTTTAGAAATGGCCACGGCTATATACTTACGGGATTTATGGCTATTAAGACCTAAATCGGATCGAGCTTCTTTCAAACTTAAGTCTCGCCCCTCAGTTTAATCATGGCAAGGACTTTCCGAGTGCTTTGCTGCTGCACAGCAATACATGATATACGTGTTGCTTTTCACAATAAATGGTTAAAATTACGGTATATGTATTTGACGAAGCTTGGGACCGCGGGAACCTGCCAAATGCACGCACAAGGAAAGACAGGTGAGTTAGTGCCACCCCTTCAGCAAATCCGTGACTTTTGGGTGTCCGATTAAGGCGCGAAAAGGGTTTCCAAAGGGCGTTTACTTCCAGGTTACCCACTACAATAGAAATGTACATATCTGGGAGCGTGCTACGTGGCACAGGAAAAAAGCCCGCTCAATTTGGGCATTCTGGATTCCCCACATGGCAACCTGATTACGTCATTTTTGCGAGCTAATACAATGATTTCATACCTACACAGCGACCAACGGCTGACATGAGCCGTTTGCGTCGATGCCATCAGAGCCGTCGGTGCCATCGGTGCCATGGGCGCCGGTGGCCTCACCTGTGCCGTGGGCCGGGCCGGGTCAGTAGACGTTAGGTCAGCGCAGGTCGCGCGCCGCCTCAGCAGACCTGTCGCCGCAGAGCCGAGCCGCGAGACTGAAGCGGCGCGGCGCGACGCAGCGCCTGCCTGGGCCGCGCCGTTGTGCCACTTCGCGGCGGTGGACGCAGGCACGCCCGCCGCCGGCCACGCCAGCCGAGACGCCGCTCCAGGTGCAGCCCGGCGGTCTTCCTCAGGTCCGGTCCGGCTCGGGCGCTGCCCAGCTCCAGCTCAGAGCGGCCCCAGCGCAGCCGCCAGCGACAGCTCAGACGTAGCCCCAGCACAGGCGCCAGCGACAGCTCAGACGCAGCCCCAGCACAGCCGCCAGCGAGTCCACGCACACCCCAGCGATGTCCGGTCCAGCCGGACGCGCTCCGGTCCAGCCCAGGCTCAGCCCGGTCCGGCCCAGGCGCAGCGTCAGCCCACAGCTCGACAGCTCGGACGCAGCTTCTGCACAGTCTGGGCGCGGCCCCCGTTCAATCGGACACAGCTCCGGTTCAGCCCAGGGGCAACCCCGGTTCGATCAGACACAGCCCCGGTTCAGTCCAGGACCAGCCCAAGTTCTATCAGATGCAGTCCCCGCCGAGGCTCTTTCCGGCCACGAGAGGTGGGGCGTAGTATGCGGCCTCGTGCAGTCAGTCGGGCTGCCGCCGCTCGTTTGCACGATGTGTGACGTCATCTGTTGCACGACTGCTCATGACTGACGTGTACGCAGGCAGGTGTGGACAGGCTCGTGACGTGTTGACACCGACTGCAGAAAATCGCAGTGTTTGGTAACGAATGTTCTCCAGGCAACGACCGCGCATGAAAAGCCAAGCTATCTTTGGAACGTTCAGCACAAGATGATGAACGTTCTAAAGACAGCTTTAAACGTTCAAACGTTCCACGTAAATGTTGGCGCGACCTTGCGAGTATCGTGTCAGCAAGATGCTCACAAGATCGTGAGCATCTCGCTGGCACGTCATAACCCCGTGTACACTGTTAATTGCGAGAATTCTCACTCGGTACCACTTCAAATAGCATTAGATCATCATCTCCCTATTTGTATGGTCCAAGCGATCGCTCAAATCAGGAACCGACGGAACTGGCCATGGGCCTATTCCGTCGGCCGGTTGCACGGCTGCAGGCACACGTAATAGTTAGGTATCCACTAAAAAAAAAAATTGTGAATACACGTCACCCTGTACTGTGCGGGGTACTTTTTGGGTGCCCTTCTTCAGCTGTTAAGGATTCTGAAAAAGGCGTGTACAAATATTTAGCTGCACAGATTGTCCCATCACGGCAAACCCATGCACAATACATCCTCATCTCCTTGATGAGAATGGCTCACATGGCTACTCACACTTAATCTTCGCTCTGATTTGCCGCTCTCATAATGAGGACTGTTGGGAGGGGCCGGTGCGACCCCCTGATGCTTCCAAACTAATAAGGATATAGCTTAGCAGAAAACATCGGTCGGTTAGCCTGAACGACATTTCAGAATTAATGCTAACTGTTATGTTGTTAGATAAAAAAGAACTAGCCCCATTGTGCCGGGTCAATGGCCACAATTTCCAGAAAATCGCACTTTTCAGCTATGTAGCATCATACATACGAGAGGATGCCTTTTGGCAACACAGAACCTAAACAGGTGTGCTACTTGTACAAAGTATAGTACAATAGTGTCTGTTTGTACGTGTTTTGAGGATATTTTTGTGATATATGGCTTTGTTAATGTAACAATGCTGGTCCGCCGAGCGCATTCCGCGGCACCGTCGGTTTTCGCCCGCCGTCCGCGCCGGCTGTAGATCGTCATGCAGTGCTCCTCAAAAACTGCCGTTGCTACGGAGCAGCAAGGCTAGGAACACGTGCTTGGCACCAAAACACGTGCAATGGATGCCCCATGAGCTATTGGAAATTAGGGCGCGATTGTGCAACACGCCAGAGAGAGGTGTCCTCCAAAAACCTTTGGGGAAGAAGAAGCCACATCGATACTTGCTTATCAGGGCAATAGTTAATGCCCGCTAAATTTGTTACGCGGTAAAAATGTACGCTGGCTAGTTGCTGATATCGTCCGTGCCGCTACTCCACCGAGACATATGGCTGGTCTGCTGCATTAACTCGACCTTAGAGCATGAAATCCGCGTTCGTCCACACTTTCTTCCGATGGATTCGACCTCTTTTCGAGCACAATCGCCCCATTTTCCTCCCAGCGAGAGAGGGTCGTACAGTAGAGACCGGTAGTGCCCCCATTATCGCCATCATTTTCAGCCGACCTTACTAGCTGAAATACTTAAATTCAGCGGAGGTGGCTGTCCAGGTCCTCAACGCAATAACCTGTTTCGAGGCAAATGGTCGTGCTTGAGATTAGACGCACGCAAATGTGCGTGATGGGCCGGTGAGTGGTGGCAACACTCAGCTGTTAGACAGCATCGCAAACAAGCAGCACGGCATGACAGTTCGTGGTTTGCCGATGGGAATACTCGACGCCAGGTTGGCAAGGGAGCTTGTTGAGAGGCGCTGGTGTGACGACCGAGCCGGCCATCCACACACGACCTCGCCACCGATGCTCTCCGGACCGTGGCATACCTGGCGCTCTGACCCTCCAGCGTGGCCACGCCGTCCGTCGCGAGGAGTGCAGTCGTCGCACGCGGCGCGGCGTGGGAACGCCATTTCCGCTAAACAATGCCCGGCTGGGCGGGAAATTTCTAACTGCACCTGTCACCGACCGCGGGTCACGGGCGCGCGCGGTCCGTCACCGATGTGGCGCGCAGAGAAATGCTGACTGTGAGGAGGAGCAGCGACGGGACTCGCTGGCTCGAAGGGCGGCATCGGACGTGCTGTGTGTCACGCAGTCTCACGATAGGATGACCACAGCAAGAAGCTCTGATGGAAGCGCATAGACAAAGTGCAGAGTGGTTGTCTTCTGGCCCCATCGCCGGAAGACCTCAATAAGAAAGTCTTGATCGACAGGAAAATGAACATACGGGTGCCAATGATATCACATAATAAGCAAGCACATTGCGATCTCAAAAACGATTTCACACGTTTCAAAATAACCATATTTTATTCATCATATGTAGCGAGGTCATAGAGCAAATAAGTGCACATATCTCACGGCCTGAGCCCAGCCACCAGCCCGCTCGAGACCGATTCAGCGTCTCCGATCTCCGCTGGGGAGACCGGAGACGCGCACGGTTTTCCGCGACACGGAGGCAGCCGCCGGCGCGCCAGCCGACCAGCCGGCCACGCCCCGCCAGCCCGACCCGCCGCGGTTTCTGTCCTGGCGCCGGGCGGCACGCCGGCGTCCGGCGTCGCCACACCCTGCCGCGGCGAGAGCCCCGCCGCTGTTGTGAAAATCACCGATGGAGCCGTGGGTGTGGTGCATTCCAGTCCGCTCCCTGGAGCCGGTTCGTAACGGACCTGGACCAAGTGAAGATGTCGAGAATTCTGACCATTTTGGGGCTATTGGGAAGGATCGCATTGTTATGTTGTCTTTGAGTGAGTGACCCAGATGTGACATGGTGGCGTGATCTTCTCCGCAGCGCATGCATCATAAGCATGAACGTATATGGACTCACCGATCTTGTCACTACAAAAAACCTAAACAATGGCTACACTGAACATGGCTATCAGCTATGAGGCCAGTGCAGAGGGACCCAACCGGTGCCGAAAAGACACTGGATAAGTTATATAATAATGGGGGGGGGGTTACCACGTATTTGCCATTGAAGAGAGCAATGGAGGGTTTGGCTAAGCTGTATGACACGATGTAAGCAACAGAAGCCTTGACCAGAGGCCTCGGCTTTTGTAAAATATTTCGGGCCCGCGTCCATAGTCTGGTTACCTTACTTTACACTTCATTTGAGTTTTTCAACGGATTTAGCCTCCTGTGATGGACGGCAATCCAAGTTTTTATTTTTTTGTTTCATCTAACAAGCTATCAGTTATCTTACTTTAAGCAGTCTAGTAGCTATGGACAGTAATTTGTGCACTAACGGTGGCTTTGTATAATAGAGAGTTGCTTACCCTTTTTACCTTTTTACATTTTTATGATATTCCAGCCAAACATATTGACGGGTGAAGCCAACGGTGTGGGGTCAGCTGATTAGGGACCAGGCCCATTATACAAAATACAAAAAAAAACACCCCTGCCGTGAATTCTCGGGCTTTTGTCGCCATGAGTAGTGAGTTGCTGTGTTGAAATGGTCGTCGCTCTTGCTCCACTTTTCCAGGACGTGCCGGTCACTAAACAAGCAGTGGTTATTTGGGACAACTTGACGTATGGGAGCTGTGCTGAAGGGGACAAGCTGTTCGAAGTTAGTATGGCCGCACTTTAAGTAAGCCACACTCTTGGCCATAAGCAGTTTTGAAACGTCGAGTTTGCTTAACATATCCAATGCTTCCTTGATTGATTGCACCGCATAGTACGTTCTGGTGTACTGATCAGTGATGTTTAACCTAAGACCTCTCATCTCATGATGATTTGTACGAGATTACGCAGACCTCTCATAATACCGCTTCGCACGCGGGTGTGCTCCATGGCGCGATGGAGTGAGCGTGTCATGCCCAGCCCCTCGGGCGATCGGCGAGGCCTGCAGCGTGGGACATGGAGCGAGGTCAGCCGTGGTACACCCTGCGCGTCGCGTGACGGGCAGCGTTTCACCCACAGCCGTAAAGGTGACGGTCTGAGGCGAACGCCCACAGTGTCACTGCATGTGCGCATTTGTCGCTAGCAAAGACCCTCCCGCAGCTGTAATAACTTTGATTTAGTTGCTTTAAGTTTCAGCTTAGCGCTATACCTGCTTGGGACTGGAATAGCATAATCCAGGAGCGTAACATGTCGTTACTGCGTGTTTATCACATCGCTCCAGCCACCGTGCATCACATTGATGACGCCCGTTCGGGGAACTTGGTTTGACAGTCATTCAGCTGCACCGCCCACAGGCCTGTGCAAAAAGTAGAAACCGTGGTGATGCTGGCTTCCGCTGCAGCAGGCGATCCCACGCTCTTTGACCTGCGCAGCTCTCCTGTCACGGGTCAGGTCAGCTCCGTGCGCCGAGAGATAGATG